TTGCGGAACTCAGTCCCAAATGTGAAGGCTCCAGAGACACCTGGATGTGGGCCCAAGAGCTTTTAAACAAAGTTGCCCTTTGTATCCCCAAAAGATTCTATACACCCTCAGGTTAAAAATGACAACCAAACTTCAAGATGCACAAAAATAAATGCGACTCAAGTGAATACAGAAACTCCACAGTTGGGTGCTTTCTCAAGATTCAAAAAACTGCAGAAAAGTTGAACTGTTTGGGAAGACCTAAGTTTCTGCCTTCCTGTTTCTTGTCTACAGTGTGGCTTATTTGTTCCACACTCTTGCTTTTCTGAAGGATGGGGGAGGTCACGGGGGAGCTGGGAGTAAGCCACAGAGCTCAGTAGAGGAACAGAGCACATCCACTAGCCATCCTTGACTCCAGATGCAAGTCAGAGTAACTTTCACGCATTTTAATGTTTCAGATGCCAAGCGCCAACAGAGACCTACAGGATCAGAAGCCCTAGAGATGGAGTCCACAGTATTAATTCTGAGTAGGTCCCACATTTAGAGAGTTTAAAATGAAAAGGCATGAAGTTAGATACCATAAAAAGTCCTATTCTCAACCATTGGCCACCAGTTCCCCCTCCCACAAGCAATCAACGTCATCTGGTTCTTGTGTAATCACAGTGATCCCAATGCATGGCTCTAGTTGAAAAGCAATGCTCTGGCCAGGCGCGGTGGCTCAAGCCTGTAATCCCAGCACTTTGGGAGGCCGAGACGGGCGTATCACGAGGTCGGGAGATCGAGACCATCCTGGCTAACACGGTGAAACCCCGTCTCTACTAAAAAAAAGCAAAAAAACTAGCCGGGAGAGGTGGTGGGCGCCTGTAGTCCCAGCTACTCGGGAGGCTGAGGCAGGAGAATGGCGTGAACCCGGGAGGCGGAGCTTGCAGTGAGCTGAGATCCGGCCACTGCACTCCAGCCTGGAAAGCAATGCTCTAAAACAGCAAAAACATTACTCTGGATGTGTGGTTCTCAAACTTTTTCGTCTCGGGGCTTCTTTACACTATTAAGATTGAGAACTCCAAAAAGCTTTTGTTTATGTAGGTTGTATCTATCCATAGTTACCGTATTAGAAATTTAAACCAAGACAATTTTTAAATTTTAACTTATTTAAAAATAGTAAATCCATTAAGTACAACTTGAAACAAAGCCTGAAACTCTGAAATTTTAATACACAGCTAATGTATATCTTAATACACATGTAATACACATTGATCTTCCCAATGATGTAATTACATAACCAAAGGAAGATCGCGTGGTATTTGGAACTTCATCAAAAGCTCTTTATCGTTTTGGAAAATCACGAAATCAACACCACTTGTCGTACTGAATCACCAAAACAATACTCCTTTATCTTCTGCTAGTGGCTTGTAGTACACTCAATAGAGGTCTTGCATATTATGGCAATCATCTTCGAATATGTGGTGTAGTCATACCTGAACATTTACGATGAAATACTTATCTAATATAAATTCCTCTTTATGTATTCTTTACCTCATAGAAAAAGGATTACAAAGTAGCTATGAAAAGAAGTGTAACCTCTGACAGATTTGAAACACTAACATCAAGCACACTGCTTCCAATGATAAGAATAACTACCCAAAGACATAATAAATAAATGTGCTCCCAGGAGGGGCAGGGATATGAAGACAGGATTTGACTATGACTGGCTGGCAGTATGTGTTTCAAGCAAATTCACAGATGTTATAAGTTGGAAAAGGTGGTAAATCACGCTTATGTTAACTTTATAAAATTGTCAAGCACCATTTTATGTAGGTGCTTTGCTTCTGAAGGTCCCTTGAAGTCAACTGTTTAATTTTTTAAAAGATACCTTATAAAAATGTGATTCGTATGAAATTCTCATTAAAAGTAACAAGTACCTATTATTCCTTGATTTCATAGTACTAAAGAAGCAATGTATTACAAAAGCATAAGGCCAATTGTTGGTAACATGTCATCAAAGAATAATTAATCAAATGTTCTCTGGAGTTACCAGATAAAATGCCCACTAATCAAATTTTTTAACATCAAATATTGTAAAGGTAGTAATTAATATTGCTCCTTTGCTCACTAAGGTATAACAAATGAACGAACAAGGTAAGCTACTATTTATAAATTCTTCAGTAAATAACAGCATAATTTAAAATTATATCATAAATGCTTGACAATCCTAGCTATCTAGAACACAGCAAAAACAGCATCACCTTTAATGGATTTCATGACATAATTTATTCAGAAAGGGCTGGGCACAGTGGCTGGCACCTGTAATCCCAGCGCTTTGGAAGGCCAGGGGTGGTGGGCAGGGAGAGATCACTTGAGGTCAGGAGTTTGAAAGCAGCCTGGCCACATGGTGAAACCCCATCTCTACTAAAAACACAAAAATTAGCCAGGAGTGCTGGCATACACCTGTAATCCCAGCTACTCGGGGACTGAGGCAGGAGACTGACTTGAATCCAGGAGGCAGAGGTTGCAGTGAGCCAAGATCAGGCCACTGCACTCCAGCCTAGGTGACAGAGCAAGACTCCATGTCTAATAAATAAATAAATAATTCAGAGAGGACCCTGCCAGGATTTGAGAGCCCACTTTTAATTTAGACACAATTGTAAATGGGAAGACAGTAGGATACGGAATTTTGCTGAAAAGAAGCTTTTCAATCTCTTAGAAGGGGCAAAACTTTTATATCAAAGAATCTTCAATGTTTTTAAAAAAAAAAAAAAAAAAAAAAAACGTTTTTGGCCGGGCACGGTGGTGGCTCACGCCTGTAATCCCAGCACTTTGGGAGGCCGAGGCAGGACGATCACGAGGTCAGGAGACGGAGACCATTCTGGCTAACACGGCGAAACCCCGTCTCTACTAAAAATACAAAAAATTAACCGGGCGTAGTAGCAGGCGCCTGTAGTCCCAGCTACTCTGGAGGCTGAGGCACGGGGAACTGCGTGAACCCGGGAGGCAGAGCTGGCAGTGAGCCGAGATAGCGCCATTGCACGGTAGCTTGAGCGACAGAATGAGACTCTGTCTCAAAAAAAAAAGTTTTTAAGTTGAGAAATACCATTTTAGCTCACGATGAATGACTTTCAAAATCCAACTATGACAATGGGAATGTATGAATGTGTGGTTTATCCCTAGAACAAAAAACTCTGGAACCACTGGTACAAGGAAAACACTGACATTAAGTTGGATAAGTCCTATCAATCTTAGTTTTATCTGATTCCCCCTATGACGAGGAACATGAAACATGAGAAAGGAAACTCAGTGTGCTAATGACAAAAACAAAGGAGGGCAGGCCATGCTCATAACTCAAGGCCTTTTCGTTGGTTCTCTCTACTCAGAACCTTCCCCAGATGTTCAAATGGCCCTCCCTTACTCCATTCCGGTCTCTGTAAATATTTCAGAGGCTTTCCCTCACCTGTCTCTTCTATTTCTTTTTTTTTTTTTTTTTTTTTTTTTTTTTTTTTTTTTGAGGCAGCGTCTCGCTGCCGCCCAAGCTGGAGTGCAGTGGCGCAATCTCAGCTCACTGCACGCTCCACCTCTTCACACCGTTCTCCTGCCTCAGCCTCCCGAGTAGCTGGGACTACAGGCGCCCGCCACCACGCCCGGCTAATTTTTTGTATTTTTAGTAGAGACTGGGTTTCACTGTGTTAGCCAGGATGGTCTCGATCTCCTGACCTTGTGATCTGCCTCTCTCTATTCCTTTACCGTACTTTTTCACCACAGTACTTATTGCTAATTAACATGGCTGGTTTATCATCTGTCTCTTCCACTAGAGTGTCAGATCTGTGGGAGGAATGACTTGTGCATCTGCATCATCAGCACTTAGCATAGTTCCTGGGAGGAACTTTGAGGACGGGGTCGTCCTCAAAGATTTCTTAGATAAATAAAGAGATAAAATGAAACTTTACAAAATGTAGCAAGAATTGTGTGAACTCACTCATTTAATAGTAACACAAAATAATTCATGATTGCCCAAAGATTATCATAGAACATCCAATGAATTACACGCAGTAATTGTCATGAAGCATAAAAAGTCAAAATGCATTCCCAGTACTTTAAATGTAACTTTGAAGTCTTCCTTCAAAAACTGAATAACTTCTTTTCCACATTTTGGTCCTTAAGACGTAACACACTTGCTTCCATTACTCAGAAAACTCCCTCACGGTGCATACTCACTCTCTCCCTCACCAACCTGGCCAAAACATGGAACAAGAAATGGCATCCTGTACCATTTCTTTCAAAGTACCTCGGCTACAAAATGGTTTTGCCTACTGTATAGGATTAGCTTAGCTTATTAGTAACAATATTCGCCATGTGAACTTTCCCAGAATAGTTTTATATCAAATCCAACCCTTAACCCTTTAAACAGTAGAAAATATGGCAGATAACAGTCGTTAACACCCCATTCCCATAATGCTCAAGCCTGTTAAACTTTCCTAATGAAAAGGGACGATGATGTGACTCTCCAGCACCCCGCATGCTCCTCCGCGGCGCAGCCACTCTCTCCACCCCACGCAGCATGAACCCAAAGGCACGCAGAGGCGCCCTCCCCTGGCGTGTGACACCAGAGAACCGGGATAAATGGGCGAGCTGGCATTCCTCCCATCCTCACTGACGGACCCGCGCGCGGAGTGAGCGGTGACTCAGCCCGCTCCGGCCCGGACTCCGCCCTCCTGCCTCCTGGCCCCGCGCTCTGGCCCCGGCCTCGGGCTCTCCACTCCCTCCGTCCCGGTCCCGGCCCCCAGCCCTCCGCTCTCCTCCCTGGCTCCCTGACCCCCGAGCCCCAGCCCTCCGCTCTCCTCCCCGGCTCCCTAACCCCGGAACCCAGCCCTCCGCTCCCTCGTCCGGGCCCCACGTCCTCGGCCCGTCCCCAGCCCTCTGCCCCGGCCCTGCATCCTCGTTCCTCCAGCCCCGGGACGTATTAGGGCTGCACGCGCAGGGAGTGGCCCCCGAGGTGGGTCTGCAGGCCCCGCGTCGCCCGGCCCCTCTACCTTCGCTCCTGCCCAGGATCCTGCAGCACAGGTTCTGCAGCAGAACGTTCGGCGACTTCTGGTCCGGGGTCGCCATCCTTGCCCGGGACTGTGCGCGGGGGTCTGGGCAGAGCCGCCACCGCCGCCGCAAGGGCAGGGACCGTGGCTCGCGCCCTCCCTGCGCCCCTCAAGCTCCCGGCTCCCGACAGGCTAAGGCGCGGGCGCCGCCGGCCACCAGGGCGCCATTTTAACGGAACCCGCCGAAAGCGCGGGCGCTTCCCACAATGCCCCGCTTCTTCCCTGCGCCGCGACCGCGCGTGCGGCTGCCTAAGCGTTCCCGGCCCTGCCCTGCGTATTCCCCCGGCTGCCGCCCGTCCGGCCGGGAAAGTTCCGGGCGACAGGTGGCCCGAGGCCCTCGAGCTGCGCGGACAGAGCGGCCCTGGAGTCGCGAGCGTCACGGGCTTCCTTGGAGAGCACTTGGTGGCCGGTAGCACCTTAAAGGCCATAATTTGGTGTGTTTATATGGGGGCGTGTGTGTTAACGGCATTGGTTTGATTCACGCGTCTGATGAAAGAAGCCTGTTTAAAGGGTGCAGGGGGTTATGCGGTGTGGCAAGTCACCTGCTACTCTCCAGCAGGCGCCCTGCTCAGGCCCGACCTCACACCGCCGCGCAGGCCGCTCCCCCAGGCCCGGGTGACTGGGACGTCCTGGGAAAATAAATCAATCACGTACGGAGTGAGAGAACAGGAGAAGACCTGCCGAGAAAAAGATCGATAAGCGGACAATTACACCAAGCCATCTTCAGTGCAATCGTTAAAGCTTACACATGGGTGCACGCTTGGGAGCCGCGAGCTACCACGTTAAAAGGCCAACTTCCTGAAGGAAAAATGATGGAAAGAGATCCCAAGATCCCATGAAATGGAAGAGGGAGGACAATCCAGCTATCCCAACGTCCCAGCTGAGGCCAGCCACACATGTGACTGTCTGCAAGGCCCGTCGGGCCTGGGTCCAGCTCAGGTTGCAGAATTGTTAGCAAGTAAAACATTTGTTGGCGTTCTGACTCAAAAACATGGAGACAAAGCAGACTTGTAGGATATTAACAGTCAACAACTAGACCCTGCAGCTAAAGGACTGCCTCCTTGCATGAAGCAACAACCATCACAGCTCTGCAAGAGCAACCAAAGCACCAAGGATGCCATCACCCCTCACTGCTTTCAATCCACATTCTGTGGAAGCGCTTCCAAACCTGCACCACACTCAACACGATCAGTTAGTAACTGGCTTCTTATGAAGCTATTCTCTCAGCCCCATACTACAGTGTCCAGATGTCATCTACATTCTGCCACCCTCTCCCCCACCTTCAGCTGAAACGCTGCATGACTGCATCATCTTTGACCAGCTGTCTCCTAGGACAGACATACAAGAAACCCCCCTCACTAACGCTGATGTTATTTGGTTTACAGATGGCTGTTTCTTAAAGGATGCAGCTGGAAGGTATTACACTGGCTATGCCATAGCGCCTTTGCCCAAAGAAATGGAAAGTGCTTGTCTTCCAGGAGCAACCATCTCAACAAACAAATAGCATTAATTAGAGCATGTCAGTTGGCAAAAGGAATAACTGCTAATCTTTATACCGATAGCAGATACGCTCAGAGTCGCTCATAATTTTGGAATGCTATGGAGACAAAGAGGATTTTTAACCTTTTCTAGTCAGCCCACAAAAAAAATGGGTGTCTTGTTTCAGAATTATGGGAAACCATACTATTGCCAAAATCATTAGCCATTATCAAGATTCCAGGCCTTTCAAAGACACTCAAAAAAGCAAGATAAGCCAGTTAGCAGATAGTATAGCAAACAGGGTGACCATAAACCTATCTGAACAAAAAGATCAAACCATTTTGGCCTTTAAGGAAGTTAGATTTTATGTAAAATTAGCTCAATCCAAATCTCCAACTCATACTTCCAACTAAGTTACAACCATCTTTCTTTTTTTTTTTTTTTTTTTTTTTTTTAGACGGTGTCTCGCTGTGTTGCCCAGGCTGGAGTGCAATGGCACAATCTCGGCTCACTGCAACCTCCACCTCCTGGGTTCACACAATTCTGCCTTAGCCTCCCGAGTAGCTGGGACTACAGGCGCCCGCCACCGTGCCCAGCTAGTTTTTTGTATTTTTAGTAGAGCGCAGTTTCACCATGTTAGCCAGAATGGTCTCGATCTCCTGACCTCATGATCCACACACCTCGGCCTCCCAAAATGCTAGGATTACAGGCGTGAGCCACCGCACCTGGCCCAGCCGTCTTTCTTAATGTGCATACACGATGTAACTCACTGGACCCTGATAAGATTATTGATTTCTTTAGGAGAACAATGTCATCAGAAACCTTCTCCAACTGTTTCTCTTAGGTATACAGTCACTGCTGTCTTCCCAGAATATAATGCAAGGAAACCTTGACCCAGTTCTCCAGGTCATTTCCCTTTACCAGAAGGCCCTTTTGAGGTGTGGCAACTAGATTTTTTCAGCTACCAACATCACAAAGATACAGGCACATCCTAGTGATGGTTTGTGTATTTTCTCATGGGCAGAAGCATTTCCATGTAGAAAAGCAGCAGCCTGAGCGGTAAGTAGTTATCTTAGAGAAAATTATTTCGACTTGGGGAATTCCTCAAGAACTTCATAGCAACAGAGGCACTCATTTCACTGCACAAATAATCCAGTCAGTATGCAAAATCTGGCCCATTTTCCAGCATTTCCATTGTGCCTATCACCCCAGTCATCTGGGTTAGTAGAATGCACAAGCAGAATAATCAAAACTCAATTGACAAAATTAACTGAAGTTTTAAAACTTCCTTGACTGGGAGCACTTTCTTGTTTTTGCTTCACCTAAGATCAGCCCTTATGGGTAAATGCCAGCTGTCTCCATCTGAAATTATAATGGACAGACCTATGAAATTGTCTCCAGGAAACTGTAAATCAATGATATTAGAAAGGGACAGGTTGTAGTATTGCAGCAGCCTCATGAGGCACCTAAGTAAAAATTGTTACTTAGTCAAAGACTCTTTCCACATTGAGCTCCAAGAAGCAAAAACTCAAGGACCACATACGTCAGCCAGGAGACTTTGTAGGAAATAGCATCGTTTAAAGGACTTTCTCCACCAAAGAGGAAGGAACCTCATCAGGGACCCCTAACCAACCCTTGTGCCACTAAGCTTAAAGGAGTTGATTCCTGGATACCTGCCACCCATGTAAGGAAAGCTGCTTTGCCAATTTGGACTTCATCTTGGATTGGTGATCTAAAACTAAAACTCTCCAGTTCCAACAAGGATGAGAAGAAAACAACATCTGAGGCGATCAGCCTTCTCAAGACACCTGACCAGGCCTGTATCTTAATGAGAATCATCATTAATAGATGAGGAAGGTCTTCCTTTACAAGTTCCCACCACATTTCCTTCTTTTTGTCCCTAGTTCTTATGTTTTGTTGCTGCTATCACCAGCCATTGCCCATGAAGCAAACATCTTGCAGTAGGCTTGGGCCTGTGCTAGTCAATTACAGGACAACACTTGGTAGGTGTGTGGCCTTGCGCCCCTTTCTGGTGGTTCTGGCAGCTCCTCTTCAAGGACAAGAGTAGACAGAATATCAGAAATGTGTCTGTGTTTCTCAGGAACAGTCATTGGTGCTTAGCACTAGTATGATGAAGGCTAGTGTGCATCACTGGTCTATTAATAATACTTTGCAAAGCAAAAGCCATAGGAAGAGCTTTTCAGTAAAAGGAACCAGTTCACATGCCTTAATGCTGGTACTACGCCAACCGAGAGATTAGACCACTCAGTATTGGGATGGCATAACACAAACTTGAGATGGTTTCACCTGGCTTACCCTCTCTTTTGGTCAACTTAGTCCACTTGCCCCTTTACATTGGGAACAAAAGAATCACATCAAAGATCCCTGGCCCAGTAGCACTGGAGATATGGGATGGAAACCCAGAGAACAGTGCATCCACGCCGTTGTGTTACAGAGTCCTGGAGATATGGGATGGAAACCCAGAGAACAG